TTTAGTATGAGCTGGACACGATTGTTGTGTCTTGTCTAGACTTTATATTTGTTTCTTTAGGTAATGAGATCTATCCGACTTGATTAAATGTGTTGTTGTATAGGAACAGTTTGGTAGCAGATAATTATCTTCTTTTTTCTGATTGAGGGTTTGAGAATAACGAGTTGTTGTGGGTTTTCTTGGTATTGTGGTGTTGCTGCTTTGTAATGTGTCCTGTGAGAGCAATTGATGTCAAAGTAAGAGGTGTTGTGTTTAGTATGGGGAGGTTAGTATTATCTATGTGTTGTTTGAAGGCATCCCATCAGCGTTTTTTAGAGAAGGCGTGTGGCTAAGATGAGACAGTTGGAGGAGATGGGAAGATTACGGAATGTGTCAGAGCCTGTGATAGGTCAGGTTATACGTAGTGTTGAAAGAGAGAGCTGGTGGTTTGCCAAAATGATGTCAGGTTTGCCTTTGGCCCGTGTGGTTGTAGAAAGGGGGCTGAAGCTGGCCGAGATAATTAGGTGTTTTGGTTTGTGAAGTTGAGTAATTGCTGACCAGTTGGTTTTTTACTGGTGTGTGAAAGGCGGTGTGTTTTGCATTCATATCACCTGTTTGGTATGTTTGGTTTGGGGGTATTGAAGACTAAGGAAGATCGTTATGTTTATGAATAGTGTTTGGGGAAGCATAGGGGGTGAAAAAGATGAAGGGACCAAGGTGGGTGTGTACTCTGACCGCAAGACAGTGTTGGTGAATAAAAGGGACTGGGAGAAATTCGTGTTTTATGTTGGATTTGACAAGGATGGCAACCCCATCGTGGGAATCATAGGGGGACTGTAGTGCAGTATAACCATAATGGCGGATACGTTGAGGGGCTTTGAGGCAGGTACTGTTTAGCAAAACAATATCTGTTCTCTCTGCTTCAAGGAGCTCGGCCAGTAAGTGTCTAATTGTGAAGTAAGAATGTACTTTGAACTGAATCACCTTGAACATGATTTAATGGTTTTGTCATACCAAAGTTGGTGTCGGGGGAGTTTATATTTAAGCCCGTGATAGTGGTGCCATCGGTGGGTGTGTGTTTGTAGGTGTTACGGACGTTTCCTGGAGGGGGAGGAAGAGATGGATCTGTTTTTATGTTCTTTAGTCTGTATATCAGAAGTTGGGTGGGAGGTTTAGGGTTTAGTGGATTTTTGTTTGGAGGAGGAGTTGGGCCTGGATGAAGTCTTGGATGTGGTGGAGGAGGAGTGGGCGATGGTGGATGCAGAGGAATGGAAGCTTTTGGGAATGGAGGAAGAAGTGGGTAAAAAGGTGGGGGGAGTAGTAGAAGTAGTTAAGAGGGGTAGGGGAGGAGGGGTGTTGGTATGAGGGGTAGATGTGAAGAGGGGTAGGGACTGAGGGTGTTGGTGGGAGTGAAGAGTGGTAGGTTAGGAGGAGAGCAGGAGGGTGTAGGAAGAGGGGGGGTGGGAGGTTGTAGGGGGTTTAAAGAGAAGCAAGAAGGGGGATGATTAGAGAGGGAAGATTGGTTTTGCAGACCAAGATAGGTTAAGTGGGGTAGCTGATTGGTAAGCTTGAGAGATTTACCATCGCAGAGTGGACAGCATAGCGAGTTGACAGTTAGTTTTTGTATCTAGTGTGGGTGTAGGTGTAGATGGAGAGGTGTTTGTAGTCTGTGTGTTGGTGTTTGATGTGTGTAGGGTAGAAGAGGTAGACCAAGTGCGTGGGGAGGCCCAGGCATTGGGGGTGGGGGAGGGCGGTTTGGTAGGGGAGGGAGGTACAGGGATGGGGTTGGGGAGGGAGGGAGGTTGGCTAGCTCTGAGGGAGGAGAGAATGTCTTTTCTAGTGTTTAATATGTTTATTATGCACCCCATACCCATGTTAGGTAAGACACATATGCAACAGTTAGGTATCTTTATTATGAAACGTTTCATAATAAAGATACCTAACTGTTGCATATGTGTCTTACCTAACAACTTGTCGGTATTTTATACCATTTTAATGTTCAACCCCATACCCATCCTGTGGGCGGTAGTCAAAAGATTACAGAGGTACATAATTGGTCCAGGGACTGGGCCTCAAAGTTTTGATAGCTGAGCAAGTTACAAAGGTAATGAACTCACAATTTACAAAGGTAATGAACTCACAATTTACAAAGGTAATGAATACTGTAAGAATGGTTACTTACGTTTATACATGGCTACAATCATGAACAAATTATAGTGTAATGAGCAATTCACACTTCCCACACCCGTCACAACTGTAGTGAGTTATTGGTGCAAATATGATTGTTGAGTCACACACACACACACCACACACACACACACACACACACACACACACACACACCACACACACACCACACACACACACACCACACACACAACACACACACTCCACTCACACACCACACACTCACTCACTCACACTCACACACACACACACTCCTCACTCACACTCACACCACACACACACATTTCACTCACTCACTCACACACACACCACACTCACTCACACTACACACACCACACACACACACACACACACACCACACAACACACACACCCCAACTCACTCACTCACTCACACTCACACACACACACACACACAACACACTCACTCACTCACTCACTCACTCACTCACACACACAACACACACACACACACACACACACACACACACTACACCACACAACACACACACACACACGAACACACAAATGCAAAGTCATGAAGATTGGGGAGGGGCAAAGAAGACCGCAGACAGAGTATAGGCTAGGTGGACAAAGATTACAGACCTCACTCAGGAGAAAGACCTTTGGGTGACCATAACACCGAGCACATCACCGGAGGCACACAACCAAATAACTGCTGCAGCATACGGGCGCCTGGCAACCTGAGAAAGCGTTCCGATACCTTAATAAGGAATCGTTCAAGACACTGTACACTGTGTATGTTAGGTCCATACTGGAGCATGCAGCACCAGTCTGGAACCCACACCTGGTCAAGCACGTCAAGAAGTTAGAGAAAGTACAAAGGTTTGCAACAAGGCTAGTCCCAGAGCTCAGGGGAATGTCGTACGAGGAAAGGTTGAGGGAAATCGGACTGACGACACTGGAGGACAGGAGGGTCAGGGGAGACATGATAACGACATACAAGATACTGCGGGGAATAGACAAGGTGGACAGAGATAGGATGTTCCATAGAGGGGACACAGGGACAAGGGGTCACAACTGGAAGCTGAAGACTCAGACGAGTCACAGGGACGTTAGGAAGTATTTCTTCAGTCATAGAGTTGTCAGCAAGTGGAATAGCCTAGCAAGTGAAGTAGTGGAGGCAGGAACCATACATAGTTTTAAGAAGAGGTATGATACAGATCAGGAAGCAGAGAGAGAGAGGACCTAGTAGCGATCAGTGAAGAGGCGGGGCCAGGAGCTGAGTCTCGACCCCTGCAACCACAATTAGGTGAGTACAATTAGGTGAGTAAACACACGCACGCACGCACGCACACACACACACACACACACACACACACACACACACACACACACACACACACACACACACACACACACACACACACACACACACACACAAGTGCAAAGTCATGAAGATTGGAGAAGGGCAAAGAAGACCGCAGACGGAGTACAGTCTAGGGGGCCAGAGACTACAAGAGGGGCAGGAATTTGCAACTGCAGTGTGTGACCCGCCGCAGTTAGAACATTTAAGGGGGAGGTTGCAGGTATTCCAGAAGTGGCCAGTTGCTGAACATCTGGAGCAGACTTGTGTAGATGTGCATGTGTTTTTGTCGTGGCCGAATTTGTAGCATTTAAGACACTGTGTGATTGGGTGGAAGTTCGGAGTGAAGAGAGTGTTTGGAGGAATGCGGATGGTCTTGGCAAAGATTCCTTGACTGAAGAGTGTAGAGGCGTCAGCAGGAGTAAAACAGCGTATTTTGAGAATGGTAGAGTTTTCGGGTCTGTAAATATCGTCAACAGAGACTTTGTTCTTAGTGCTGATGTCTTTTATTAAGTCGTTTTTGTCTGTGTCATAGGCTGTCAGGAGAGCGTAGTCTACGTGTTTAGCAATGACTGTGCTTTTGGCACGGTGCTCAGGAGTCCAAATAATGGTGAAGCCTGCGTTGAGAAGTTTTTGTCTGGTATCGGTTGAGGTGTACGTTTCGTAGGAATGTTTGTCAAGAAAGAATTTGAAGCCTGAGTTGGTTTTAAAGACTTTAAGTTGAGGTGCACCAGTGATCTGATATAATAAATTTCCAGGACAGATAGTGGCATCAGGATTAGAGAATTTGAGGAATTGGATTTAGAAGAAGCAGAGGCAGGTGTGGGGGGTTGGGGGAGAGTGGAAGGGGGGTGGGGGGTGGAAGGCAACGAAGGCATCGTCTAATTACGAAAAGATGAAATTGGCGGTGACAATCGGTCAAAAAGTGAGAGTACTCAGCTAGGCAAGTACGTGTAAATAGACACACGTACTTGCCTGGCGCAGGACACTGAGGTGAACTGTAGTTTGATGGAGCACTGTATATCCTGAGCGGCGGCGAAACTGGCTGTATGGCGTGCAGTCAACAGGCGTAGAGAAATCAAGCAGCAACAGGCTTCCTGCCCTTTGGTAGGCAACCACCGACGCACCAATCCTGATGATGAAGAGGAAGACGAAGTTCCAGCAAGCACCACTCTAAGCGAAGTCTCTCCCAACACGGGGTAATTCAAGAGAGGCGAGATCGTCGATGATCAATGACCGTGATGTGTGTGTCCTATACTACTACTACTTGTGTTATTACTCTACTGCTGCTATTATCACTACACTACTACTACTAATACTGTACTATTACTGTATTACTAAACTACTACAACTACTACTACTACTACACTACTAATTCTACAGTAATATTGTTGTTACTACTACTACTACTGATAATAATAATAATAATAATAATAATAATAATAATAATAATAATAATAATAATAATAATAATAATAACAATTCAATAAGAACTGTTATATCATCAGACATCCGGACGCTGGAGTATGTGCCAGGACGTAGTATTAACCTAGCCATGAGTATCCGTGGACGTACTGGACTGAGAATGGTGGGTGTGGAGGATGCTATCATCCAGGAGCACGGTATACCCATGAGAGCACGCATGATACACGCGCCAGACGGAACCACCAAGGCTATACCTTATAACAAGGATGGCAAGGTGAGTTCAACTCAGTTTCTCTGATTCCTTGTGTTTGATTCATTCCAGCAGACGGGCACCCATTATGCTGTGATGGCTTGGTGTTGTATGACTCATAAGTATTTAGCGTTTCCCCATGAATATAGTACAGTTGTATATGAGTTGTATTCACTACCGACAAGATAATGAATTAGTCACATGTGCAGCATCTGGGTAATTTCACTTGTAGACTTTTCGCCATTCACTGGCTGTATCAGTACAATACATGCACATGATAAAAATATATACAGCAAATACTGGAAGATAAGGAAATCAATCCCTCAGCGGTGGCCCGGTGGTCTGGTGGCTAAAGCTCCCGCTTCACACACGGAGGGCCCGGGTTCGATTCCCGGCGGGTGGAAATTCCGACACGTTTCCATACACCTATTGTCCTGTTCACCTAGCAGCAAATAGGTACCTGGGTGTTAGTCGACTGGTGTGGGTGGCATCCTGGGGGACAAGATTAAGGACCACAATGGAAATAAGTTAGACAGTCCTCGATGACGCACTGACTTTCTTGGGTTATCCTGGGTGGCTAACCCTCCGGGGTTAAAAATCCGAACGAATTCTTATCTTATCTTAGCTTAGAAGCAGGTGTTGTGTACCTTATTGTTGACTACGACACTAAACACCTGCTGCCAGGCTAAGGGACTGATTACCTCCAGTTCTGCTACTTCAATCTAATGTGTTTTTTCCCTGGTAGGCGAAACGTCTACATAGTAAAAATCCTCAGTTTTTCCCCACTTGTCTAATTCTTCAGCTGCAATTCTTATATAATTCGCCTCTCACCAACACACCCCTAGAATGTTGTAGTCGTGTATGGTATTCTCCTGTGATCACTCTAGAATGTTGTAGTCGTGTATGGTTTTCTCCTGTGATCACTCTCTAGAATGTTGTAGTCGTGTATGGTATTCTCCTGTGATCACTCTCTAGAATGTTGTAGTCGTGTATGGTATTCTCCTGTGATCACTCTCTAGAATGTTGTAGTCGTGTATGGTATTCTGTGATCACTCTCTAGAATGTTGTAGTCGTGTATGGTATTCTCCTGTGATCACTCCCTAGAATGTTGTAGTCGTGTATGGTATTCTCCTGTGATCACTCTCTAGAATGTTGTAGTCGTGTATGGTATTCTCCTGTGATCACTCTCTAGAATGTTGTAGTCGTGTATGGTATTCTCCTGTGATCACTCTCTAGAATGTTGTAGTCGTGTATGGTATTCTCCTGTGATCACTCCTAGAATGTTGTAGTCGTGTATGGTATTCTCCTGTGATCACTCCTAGAATGTTGTAGTCGTGTATGGTATTCTCCTGTGATCACTCTCTAGAATGTTGTAGTTGTGTATGGTATTCTCCTGTGATCACTCTCTAGAATGTTGTAGTCGTGTATGGTATTCTCCTGTGATCACTCTAGATACAATGTTAATGATACAAAGTTAGTTTATAACACAATACTAACTAGTCTTTCCTCTGTCCCATCACGTCATCAGTGTATCTATTCAGTCGGTCGTCGCTTCGTAAACGAGAAGCTGCTGAGTAAAGCTGAGACCTTCTCCAACATTCACATTCACTTCTGCCACAAACTGCTCACTGCTGACCTTGACAAAGGCACAATGACCTTCCTCAAGTAAGTCCTGCCTCTATTTTACTACTGTTATGATTATTGGTAGATGTAGTTGCATTATTGCTATTATTATTGTTATTTTTTTTAACAAGTCGGCCGTCTCCCACCGAGGCAGGGTGACCCAAAAAGAAAGAAAATCCCCAAAAAGAAAATACTTTCATCATCATTCAACACTTTCACCTCACTCACACATAATCACTGTTTTTGCAGAGGTGCTCAGAACACAACAGTTTAGAAGTATATACGTATAAAAATTATTATTATTATTATTATTATTAGTAGTAGTAGTAGTAGTAGTAGTAGTAGTAGTAGTAGTAGTAGTAGTAGTACTAGTAGTAGTACTAGTAGTTGTTGTTGTCGTTATTGCTTAGTTGTAATACCAACAGCATCAGTAATAATAGTATTAGCAATAGTAGTAGTAGCAATAGTAGTAGTTTGCAGTATTGTAGTACCAGTAGCATCAGTAATAGTGGTAGTAGCAGTATTAGTTGTAATAACAGCAATGGTGTAGTAGTAGTAGTAGTGGTGGTAATAGAAGTAGTAGCAGTGGTGGTAATGTTGGTAGTAGTAGTGGTGGTAATGGTGGTAGTAGCAGTGGTGGTAATGGTGGTAGTAGCAGTGGTGGTAATGGTGGTAGTAGCAGTGGTGGTAATGGTGGTAGTAGCAGTGGTGGTAATGGTGGTAGTAGCAGTGGTGGTAATGGTGGTAGTAGCAGTGGTGGTAATGGTGGTAGTAGCAGTGGTGGTAATGGTGGTAGTAGCAGTGGTGGTAATGGTGGTAGTAGCTAGTGGTGGTAATGGTGGTATATGGTGGGTAATGGTGGTAGTAGTAGTGGTGGCAATGGTGGTAGTAGCAGTGGTGGTAATGGTGGTAGTAGTAGTGGTGGTAATGGTGGTAGTAGTAGTGGTGGTAATGGTGGTAGTAGTAGTGGTGGTAATGGTGGTAGTAGTAGTGGTGGTAATGGTGGTAGTAGCAGTGGTGGTAATGGTGGTAGTAGTAGTGGTGGTAATGGTGGTAGTAGTAGTGATAGTTATGCACACAAATACGTTCCATTATCCAATGATGGGAAGAATCCATCCTCCTTCAAGTCATGTATTTGACCAATCTGTTACGCAAGATGTCAACTTCAACACACCTCGCCTGACGCTTCACGTCACTCTGCTCCATATACACGTATACCTAAGAATATTAATTATAATATACTAATATCTTCATTTACTACAAATACATGTGCAAGGTATACAGGCCACTTGTTATGCAGAGCATTTCGGGCAAATTAGGTCAGTTTTGTCCCAGGATGCGACCCACGCCAGTCCACTAACTCCCAGGTACCCATTTTACTGATAGGTGAACATAGACAACCGGTGTAAAGAAATACGCCCAGTGTTTCTACCCTGGCTGGGAATCGAACCCAGACCCTCTCCGTGTGAGGCGAGAGCTTTAGCCACCGGGGCGCAGTGCACCTCATAAATACGGCGCTCGCTGTAGAGCGTCTCACTAATACAACGCCTTTCAATTATATTCATGTGTTTCGTCGGTGACTCACATCAGGTGACCCGAGCACAGTCTGTTCTCAGCACTTGTCTACTGCTGCCTCAGTGTCGGTGACTCTTATCAGGTGACCCGAGCACAGTCTGTTCTCAGCACTTGTCTACTGCTGCCTCGGTGTCGTATTTTGGCAGGTTTTCAAACCTTTTAATGTGTAATTATTGTAATTATTACTGTGCATTTGACACTAAAGATAATGTTAATGAAGAGTCTCAAGCCTCATATTGTAAATCAAAAGTTAGAAGCGATCAGTGTTAGTGAGAAAGTCTTGTAGAACAACGCTGAGATACATGTTGACAGATAATACCACCTTCACTCTCCTTCACTCTCCTTCACTCTCCTTCACTCTCCTTCACTCTCCTTTACTCTCCTTCACTCTCCTTCACTCTCCTTCTGTTGATAATTACTTCTACAAAAATATTCCTTTGTCAGTCACCATAAACAAAGATGAAAATATTTTAAGGTTAGCAACACAGTAATGTATTATTTTTACTTTTCATCGATTTTTTTTAGGCCTAACACTTGCGCACTTAATGTTTTTAGGATTTTATATGTACTGGTAAGTGAAAGAAAGTTGTGATTTGCTTTACGGCGATATTTGCTTTATGGCGGTGGTGTTGAACGTAGCCGTCCTTATCAGTGAGGTATTCCTGTATATACACACCTCCTCTCTCCCTAGGTATAAATATAATTACTAATATAAGTCTTTAAAGGGGTAGAGAGGTAAGCCAGTGGAAGGCCTCGGTCATTTGACCAAAAACTCCAGTAGCGGGTCATCATATGATTAAAGACCCGCTTTAAGAAACACTGTTTCCTGACCAGTCTTACTTTTCTGTAAGAATATAGATCTGTGCTCCAGTTCCCCGAATTAAGCCCGAATGCCTTCCACATCCCCCCCCCCCCCAGGCGCTGTATAATCCTCCGGGTTTAGCGCTTCCCCCTTGATTATAATAATAATAATAATGTAAGAATATAAACTTTGTGATGACTTATCACTCTTAGTTATTATTCGAAGCTTGAATAATGGATAATGGGGGTTTAAAGTGTATGGACTGTACTAGGGTCATTAAGGTCCCACCAACAGACAAGAAACCCTAAAATACGGGTTTATGGTAAACTCTCAACGTATATACACTGAGAGAAATACACCTCTTTATGTGTATATATCTTCGTGTTTCAAACCTTTGTTTTGTATATCCTATGATGATAATATTATCAGCTCGTATACCAGTGCATATTATTATTATTAAAATTAGGTATACTATTCTCATAAGCACTATATTCTATAATGGTGTACAAGTTTTAAACAGGTACCTCAGCTGTCAGGTAAGAAGCGTTGATTCGTACTTCGGTGACTGTCGGCCATTTCTAGTTGTAGCTAAACTGTGGATGTCTTGCTTCTCTCACCTACGAGAGAGATAGAGAGAGAGAGAGAGAGAGAGAGAGAGAGAGAGAGAGAGAGAGAGAGAGAGAGAGAGAGAGCCATGTCAGTTTCCAGCTTCCGTCTTTCTTTTTGTGGTTAGTCGAATTTATATCCATTTTACATAGATGTTGTATGGGTATAGTTCGGGACCCAGCCATTTGTTAATAATAATAATAATAATAATAATAATAATAAATAATAATAATAATAATAATAATAATAATAATAATAATAATTTTTATTTCTACAAGTACATTTACAAGGTAAACAGGCCTAATTGACATCAATGACATACTACTATATAGAAAGTCCCTTGTTAGAGCATTTCGGGAAATTAGGTCAATTTTGTCCCCAGGATGCGACCCATACCAGTCCACTAGCCCCCAGGTACCTATTTTGCTGATTGGTGAACATGGAAAGCAGGTGTCTTAAGGAAACACATCATAATGCTTTCAGCCGTACCGGGGATCGACTCCCGAACCTCAGTGTGTGAGCTGAATGCGCTACCAATTGAGCTTTATATGGCTAAGTTTGATATAGGGAATATAGGTCAAATTTACTGGTCAACTTTTATTGTAGCTCTCTTTCTCTCTCAGAAGTTATTCTCACGCATGAAGCCTCTTGCTTCAGAAACCTTCAACGCAGCCTCCTGAAAAATACCTTGAAGCATGGCTATAATTAAGAGTTATGATACATGAAATGTTCCTGTTAATAATCTGGGAAAAGTATGATGTGAAGTGTGCACTGTGTCTGTTGTTAGTGGTGAACTTGTGTGAGGTTGATCATGTTGGTCTGTCACTATAAGTAATAACAATTAAGGTTCAGTGTGTGCTGCCTCTGGGAAACTGTCCATTGATAACTGTTTGCTGATGTTTACTTTTCATGGGTTCTTTGAGATGTACAAGTGAGTACTTGTGGTGTCCAGAGTTGTGCAAGTACTTGTGGTGTCCAGAATTGTACAAGCGAGCATTTGTGGTGCTCAGAGTTGTACAAGCGGGCACCTGTGGTGTTCAGAGTTGTACAAGCGAGCACTTGTGGTGTCCAGAGTTGTACAAGTGAGGATTTGTGGTATCCAGAGTTGTACAAGTGAGCAATTCTGGTGTCCAGAGTTGTATAAGCGAGAGCACTTGTGGTGTTCAGAGTTGTACAAGTGAGCACTTGTGGTGTCCAGAGTTGTACAAGCGAGAGCACTTGTGGTGTTCAGAGTTGTACAAGTGAGCACTTGTGGTATCCTGCAGCGGAAAGGAATTTGAGGCATTGGAAAATAGGACATTCCTAAACTTAAACACAATTTACACGAGGATGACAGGGATTTGATAGCCATGGAAGCTAGTGTGGTTCCAGCCCATCTCCGTAACCTTTCTCCGAGGACTGCCTTGCCTGTATCTTTTGTAAAGGCATAAATCTTTTATTGTGCACTTTAGTAGAGCATCTCTCAGTTTCTCCGTTAAAGTGAATCCTGTAATTCTTCTTCTTTGCATAGCGATTAAAATTTCTCCCTAGACTCCATGAAGCAGCAAGTAGAGACTGAGAGTTGAAACCTCAGGGAAAACTTCCTTAGAGAGAGAAGTTCACGACGATGTGCGGGTTATTTGTGCGTTGTTCCAGTTGGTAGATAAGACACATAGGCAACATTTAGTGGTTACATTCTCACTACTACGACTCTGCACCTCTCCTTCCGACAGTATTTAAGTCTCTGCACTGTCGCTTGATCTTCAGTTAGTTCCAGACTTTGGAACAGAACTTCTCCAGGCTGAGGGACTGACAACCTCAAATCTACGACTTCAAGGGTGATGGACTGATTACATCGTCTTCACATCTCTACTGCTCCCGCCTACTTTCTGTACTCGACTGAAGAATCCTACTGTGTAGGCGAAACGTTTCGGAATAAAGTTGCCTAAATGTTGCCTATGTGTCTTATCTACCAACCTGTCGGTATTGTATACCATTTGATAATCGCATTGTTCCAGTCACTGTATTGTGCCTTTTTGTTCTTGATTGTTCATTATGTTGTTATATGCTTGCAGTAACA